CAGAGGGGGCAAGATCATTCAGATGCTCAGTAGCAGAGCTAGGAATTGAATCCACGTCTCCTGAGTCCCAGACCACTGTTTATTCCACTAGGCAACACTGCCTCCCATGTAATGCTGAATCAAGGCCTAGAACTCCAGAATAATTCCTCTATATTTTTACATTAAAAAGCTTATTACGGTTGAATTAAGGACACATTATTTCATTTTCAGTGGTCATACAATGACAGGATCTAGCATTACGTGTTCCAGGCTTTGCTTCAAGCCCTTAAACCGTTCTAATTATTACCTTTTTGGAAAGGAACAGAGACCAGACGTTATAACAATCATTACTTGAATACATGATCCTTCTTGTGATGCTTTCTGTGTAACTGTAAAATTGTTTTAAAGAGTTTGCTTTTTATCTCAATTTTGTAATTAACCTGTAACATTGTATTGATTTACAAAGTCCTACTATATGCTCACTTGAACCTTGAATCTCATTACAATGATCAATGTTTTTCGTGTGGAGGATGGTGATATCTGATCACAAAGCTATGTTTAGGGTCACCTGAAAGAAGAGTGTGAAGAGATTGTATCATACTGGAAATAAACCAGGATAGGCAATGCATGCCCTTCTTGCTCCTAGAGAAGCATCTGTTACCTATAAAAGCAACTACAGTTCATTTGTCTTTTTGATAAAACCATGCATATTTTCAGAGGACAGATATCATTTAAAACAATCTCAATTCCAGTTTAGTCCACTTTTTTAGTAGATGACATGCTAAGATTTTCACTGTAGTATGTGGGAAGCTGATTTCCATGAATATTAATGAGATCTGTGCAGGATTCAACTTTGAACCGTTACCCTTATGAAGGTGAAGTCATTAAAACAAAAAATTTGACAATATTTTAGATTAAAGACTAAGCAGATTTCAAAATAAATGTAATACACTAATCAAAAGTAGTGCACGGATTACTTTGACTTACTAAAGCTCAATACCATAACATCCATCACATTTGCTCCTAGGGAAAAAAAAAGAAAGAAAGAGGGGAAGCTGCTGTTTTTATTTCTGGTTCCAGAAGGCAAAGAATATTTACACCCAAGGAGCATTTTCAAAGGTAAAGGTGCATCAATTATTTCTGTTAGGGACAAATGAAGCCTTTTCATGAGGCCAATAAAAATGCTTTACTTCAAGAGATGAAACCTGATCTTGTTTAACCCTTTGGCACTAGAGGCATTTCCTGGTGCTAAATGCTAAAGTCATTAGTATTAACAATGGCAAAGCTTGACACCTAGAATAAAGAGGTTTCAGAGCAGCAGCCATGTTAGTCTGTATCCGTAAAAAGAAAAGGAGGACGTGTGGCACCTTAGAGACGAACAAATTTATTTGAGCATAAGTTGCATTCCATGAAGTGAGCTGTAGCTCACAAAAGCTTATGCTCAAATAAATTGGTTAGTCTCTAAGGTGCCACAAGTCCTCCTTTTCTTTTTGTAGGATAAAGAGTTTATTTAAAAGGCACTGAATAGTCATTATGACTGCTCTTGATACCAGGTAAGAAAAATCAGTCATTCATTACAAGACTTTTTTTCTCTCAATATGATCACCGAACTGTCACTGAAAGAAACTAAATCTGTCGTACCTTAAAAGGATTTTTACTGGCCCAATCACTGCAACTATTGTAGCTCTATTGGACTAACCTCCTAAGTAAGGATTTGCCAGAACTGGCCCTATATAACATCTCAGTCCATCCCTGCATACACAAAATCACAGTATAAAAAGGACTTAATGAGCATGTTACTCTATCCCGGATGCTTTAATGCCTCTAAAACATACATCAAAAATAGGAGTCCAGAGACTAGCAAGAAGTATGATTAGTGACATGGAGAGTCTTCATGAGGACAGACTGGAAAAAAAAAAAAAGAGACCATTTAGCTCACAAATAAAGCGGAATAAGAGGGGACATAATAGATGTATACAAAATAATGAATGATGTAGAGTAAAATCATGCTCTCCTATTAACCCTTTCCTATAACAAAAGGACGACAAGGGGACATAATTAAAAGTGAATGGTAAGACATTTAAAACTGATCAAAGAATTTAAAACAAAAAACAAAAAACCCACAATGCATAATTAACCTGTGGAACTCATTGACTCAAGATGGTCTTTGAGGTCAAGAGCTTAATAGGATTTTTTTTTTAAACCAGCTAATGAGAATATCTACTATTACCTTAGATAGGACTAAAAAAATCACAAATAATATAAATTTGCATCCTTCAGTGTATAAACCAACCCGTAACTGATGGGAGTCAGGAAGAAACTTCTGTGGGCAGATTATCCACTTTTGAGCTTTTTACGCCTTCCTTTAATGACTCTGGTACTAGACCGCATGTGAGACAAAACATTGGACTAGATTAACCAATGCTAGCGTTTGGTTTCTATGTTTGTAACATCTTCAGCTGGGACTCCAATTGGAAGGAAAACTCTCTATCCTCTCTAATTCAGCACGACAGAATTTTTCCATTTTGCTTCTATCACCACATAATACTCCAAAAAGGTTCCGCAAATAGATATTTTTAAAGGTGTGTGCAGGCCAAGTATATAATTATGGATGATGACATTAGCCTCAGCCATTATAGGAAAATTACAGACATTGCAAGTTGGCTGAAAAGATTGAGAGGAAGTAAAGCAATCTGAAAGCTGTAGAAAGCATCGACAGTGACTCTAAATTTAAGGAAGTCCTGTATAAACTGGAGTAGGATTGCTCAAACAGAATATTGTATGAGCCAGTAAGAGGGATTAAATATCTGTAGATGTGTGTACTACTTGAGATGTTGCTGTTAACGCAAATTGTGGTGGCCCAGAAAATATTTTTGTACTCAACATGGACTCACTTCTGTTTCTGTATATTTAATAAGATCATACTACGGTTTCAAAATTGGTTAGTGAACACCATGGCTCTTATAATTTTCCCCACAATTCTATAAGGATTTTGTCTTACAGAATAACAGTATCATCCAGACCAAAATACACAGTCTCTGAGCACACAAACTGCAGCAAGTCCCACATGCGGTCTCTGTGCTGGGCCAGTACATACAAGGGGCAAGACCTGACCAAATCAGGGCTAAAAATGGGGGGAATCACCACATCAGGGAGCTGAGGAGTGGCTATGGGTTAAAGCTCATGTAAATGAGCTCCTTATTTCCTAGGAACCACAAATTCTCTCTCCACATAGGGTCTGTACATCCCCATGGGAGTTATCCTCACTTTAACCCTGAAATAACCCCTATGCATTGCCCAGTCACGGAGTTTAGGGTGAGAAACTCCCAACACTCAAAGCACAACTTTTATTTAAAGCCCTGTGATCATTGGGGGGGTGCTCTCTTACCCTGACCACTACTGCAGAAGGGGACCAGGAGTTGGAAGTGCTCCTGTTCCTGACTGCTAGCCAGAGATGGTGAAGCCCTCAAACATTTATTACTACTGTTGGAGGGCTTCTTCCCTTTCTCCAACTCACTCACTGCTTGGGACATGAAGGAGATCTTCAGCTTGATGGGGCCTAACTCATCTATTTTGGAGTTGTCAACCAGAGCGTGAGGCTCTGTCCCAAGCACCCATCAGTGTCCAAATTTATGGAAAGTTAATTTCAGGCATGGTGGTGGAAATCCTTTTAATCAAGAATCAAAGTGTATTTATTTACTGATGAAAGGAAATCAGAAGTACTTTGTAAAGGCCAGATCATTCTAATCAGCAAACAGAGCCTTGTGACTGAGGGCTTGTTGACACAATGCTTTAGTCCACTCCAGAAGGGTGTAAATTCTAGTCTGCACTAGCATGTCGCACACTAACTGGCCCATGTGGACCATGCTGGTGTGCACTCAAAGTTCCCTAGCGTGCATTACAGTAGTCGTGTTTGAAATGGGACTATGGTAACATGCGCTAGAGAACTTTGAGTGCACACTAGTAGGCTCCACACAGGCCAGTTAACACACAACACTCTAGTATTCACTGGAATTTACACTCCTCTGGTGTGGACTAACGCACCATGTAGGGAAGCTCTTTGGTGAGCTATCGCACAGCTCCCATATCTAGTTCTGAGTCATCTGAAACTTGCTCACAAACTATTTGTTGAGCACTTTAGAATAAGGAATACATTTATAAAAGTCATGATCTGTTTGTGAATTATTCACAAAAGGATAAAAACCACAGAATTAATGTTGCGTGCTTTTTTAAAACCACTGAGTAACGAACTTTATTAAATCCAGGCATTTAGTACTTCAGCATAAAACCCTTCCAAAGAATATTCCAACCATTTAGATGACTATCAATTTTCAAAAGTTGAGCAATACAGCACTCTCTCTGCAAACTCCACACACAGGGACTCTACACCATTTATAAGATGGGACGTTACAGATCGCAAAGAGCATGCTAGTGATATATGATAAAAATATATAACTGCACTCCAGCCATTACCGAAGATGCATAACTTTTAGAGATCATTTAACAAGGTGACCACACGCCAAAGTAAAATCAGTTTCAATTCAGATTTTGATCAGCAGAAACTGGAAATCCTGAATTTGCACTCCAGTTATTCAGCAACCATTATATGGAAAATATATATTATAGACATTCAGATTCCACTGTAATATAGTAAATGATATTCCCATCCAGGCTAATCTCCAGCTATTAACTTGTCAAGACCTTATAAATGAACAAAAGGTATGCCTCAAATGATAATGAATTTGCACTGCACAACATCCAAATTGCATTAAGAATGGTGCAAACAACTTTTTAGGGATAGAAGCCATAAAATAAGTGTGTGCAATGATGAACAAAGAGGCTACATAAAATTAATTCAGTGATATCTCATTAGTTAAGCAATCAAAGACCATAAAACAGCGTAAGTTTATGCTGTTACACATAACTGTAAAGTGAAAATACATATAGGCCAATACTCTCATGGAAGATAAAGTCTGACTCCTGGGTTGAATTCAAGAAGAAAAAGGGAAATCTCAACTCACATCGCACTGGAACGGTTTCTCTCCAGTATGGGTCCTCATGTGCTCATCCAGGCCTCGCTTCTGACTGAAAGCCTTGTTGCACTCAGAGCACTGGTATGGCTTTTCCTGTAAGCAATGACAACAGTGAGTGAAAGTGAGTTAACACAGAGCGCAAGTCATTAAGTGAGTGGAATTCCATGCTGGATGGTGCAAGTTTTATATTCTCTCTAAGGGATTGCAGTCAGTGAAAACAACAGAAAATGAGTTTCTAATGATTAAGTGAAAGCTGGGAAAGCTGTGGCCTGACAGTTTCCACTTCAACACCCATTATGAATTAATTATCTGTTTCAGTCTTTCAAACACAGCAGTTTTGGGGGTCTGTTTTTCATAATGTGAAAGGTACAAAAACAAAATCCCAATGTCCTTTCCTTTCCCCTCTATGAAAGGCTAAAGCATAAAGATAAGTGAGTTATCTATTAGAATCTCAGGATTTCCATCCACATTTTTCTGGGGAGTAGGTAGTGGGAAAAAAAAGCCTCTTAAAAAGTTGGTGACAGAAGGCTAATCACTTATTCATCACAAGCTCTCCCAAAAAAGTACAGAATCACCAAGTCATCTGTATTTTCACTGGAACTATTGGTTAGTGGCTACTGTAGCCCATGATTATTTGTAACGGTTGCAATAATCTAACTGGAATAAATCATTTAAAGGACATATATCAAGAACTGCTTATACAGTTATTTTCTTCTTCAAAGCCCTTTACAACCTTCCCAAACTTAACTTAATTGAAGGCCTTATATGGGAAGACATAAGTCCTTCATTTACAGTAGTCCAAAAGCATAACAGAAAAAACAAGTGAATGAATAAAAATGGCATTGCATTTACAGTCAATGCTCATTTTTAATGCTTTAAATACACAAAGGGCCTTTCAAAGTCAAATTACTACTAGTCATTCACTTTCATGCGAGGTTTCTGTTTGGCCCAAAATTTCATATTGTTTCAATTTCAAAATCTGTGGATTTGAGAAAACAAAACTATCAGATTTTGTGTTCTGAATTAAAACAATAAAGAAAGTAAATGTTAAAATATCAGTAAGTAGGAAGTGAATACAAATTCTATGTAACCCAGTAATATGAAGTCATTGTTGTGACTTCATAGCTGAAGTTGTGCAATACACAAAGTGTCATTTAAGGAGTAGGAAAAGTCACTTAAACACTACTCAAGCGTTCAGTCTCTGACAAACTCAGAGTTCCTAGGCCTCATTCATCACGCTGTTACTGTAGTTGTACAGTTCCTCAGAAATCAGTGGCAGAAAGCTATTGTAATGGAGTCGAGAATCAGGCCTTCTATATTAAGAGATTTGGGGTGACATTTTGGTCCCATTGAAACCAATGAGAGTTTTGCTATTGAGTTCTATAGGAGTAGGATTTCACCCTATTTGGTTTAGTGAGTTATTTCTGGAAAGTTACCAAGGTATTTTATGAGACTTTTGGTTTATCTTTTGTTTGTACTTAAACAACTATGTTACGATGACGCATCTACACAACAACTGAGTCGGGATCTGATTTTGACACAAGCATCCAGGGTGACTGCTCTGCCTACAGTCCCTGTGTAGCTGCTGTTTAGGGTTAAAAGTGATATATTGTGCTGGCCCACAACATCAAGCATGGAATTTGTCCTTAAAGAGCATTGAAGAAACATGTTAAAGATCTGTCACTTTAAATGTTTAAATAGCCTAGTGAGAGAAGGTAGAGTCGTTCTGACATAAGCCTGTTCTGCAATGCTTTTTTTCTTTTTTTGTCCCGTGAGAATCATCCATGGTTAAAATGCATTGTGGTGGAAGAACAACAAGAATTTAGTTTCAATTTGAAAACTATGCAACAAATCTTTGCATCTTTTTAAAAACAACTCCAAAAAATCATAGTGTAGTATTGGTATTTAATGAAAAAATAGAGCTTATCGAAGTATATCCAAAGGATACACTTTTTTCCTGAAATAAAATGGCAAATTCCCCACATTTTTTCAATCCTTTATCATGCAGTTTTGCACTGTCTCTGGAGCTTACAGTCTTTGTGTACGCAGGCACAAACACACACATCTGTTCTCCCCTCCAAAAAAAACAATACCTAGACCTAAATAGACATCTTCCCTCACATAAGTACATAGAGATAAATGTATATTTATATAGCACATGGCATTTATTTAGGAACTTACACTGAATTTTAAAACTAAGTACAACTATTTAAAAAAATAAATGGAGTCCAGGAGAATAAATCAGCCTGCTTAGCAGTCTGTAGTGTGCCCAGAGGGGGTTTGAAACTACTAATGCTGTAAGTAACATAACTGCCTGTACAGTTCATAGAGATTTAGATAATGTTTCTGTCCAAATATTTTTCAGAGTGGAGAATGTAATTCCTGTTACTGGCAGCTAAGGAGGAGAAAGTGTTGCAGTTTGGTTTAACAAATCATACAGCATTAGTTCATTTTGGGAGATACACTCAGATCCAGGGAAGTAAGGAGAAGAATCAGTCCTCCAAACTTAGGTGATGGAGTCACAGAAGTACTGAAGCCCCTCCAACTGTTGAATCCCTACCTCTAGTATGCAGGGAATAGATGGCTTATTTGTATAGTGTATTCCCGTCAGGTGCTGTGCAGTCTGGCCCCAACCAGCAAAGCACCAGAGCACATGCTTAACTTCAAGCATGTAACAAGTTTTGCCCTTACTGAGAAATATTTCTCCAGGATTTTAATTTTCAGTGCACATAAACTGAGAGAGAAAACAAATCACAATGTGGTATACAGCACAAATCCTGCTAGTAGCTCAGTCTGTGCAACCAGTGACTAGATAAGTGCGCTGTGAAGGATAGTGCTTTCACACATAGTTTATATGCTTTGTGGCTTTTTTAAATCATTATCTTACTTTTGTGGCTTGCATGATTTTCAACATACAAGAAAACATACCCATTTCCTCACAAACAATGAACTTTAAAAAAAAAAAAAAAAAAAAGCGTGTCCAGTCCTGAAGTTCTTACGTCAATGGGAATTTTGCCGGACTGAGCAGCGACTTCACAGACTAGGTCCTGTAATTTTCGGGGAAGTTTATGGATAAACCATATGAAAAACAGGTTTCCATAACACGCCCTTAATTGGTTTTGTATTGTGGTTAATGGAAACCACATTTTCTGTAAACTCTCTGAAAATGAATTCTGTGCTCCATGTAGGTTATTCCACAGAAACTCAAAATAAAACACAGTAAACAGTCTATATATCTCTGTGGCCTATAAATACCCAATGGCAATCACTGATGTGCCAAAACATTCTTAAATAGTGTAAATTCCTTAAATAGTGTAAATTCTACCTGCTTTACTTGTTGCCTCTCTGTCAGGGCAGGGAACCTACCTAGTTCCCAGTCAGTGGAGTGTTGATGCTATCACAGCTTGTCCTGCCCATTTTACAGGTGCTCAAGGGCAATAGGAGTGGCTGGGCAGTTTGGGGGAGAAAAGGGCAAGAATTTCGCTGGAAGTTAGGACTCCACACACAGGGGACATAGCAATGGGCTGAACTCACAACCATAAGGAGCTATCTGTTTACTCTTTTTATATTATATTAATTTACTTAGGCTCCTATTCATATTACCCCTTGAGAAGACCTGGCTGACTGCAGAGGGGCTACCTTGCACTCTTTTATACATATAAATTTCAATTCACATACGTAGTACAGGAAACATACTAAAGATATCACAGTTCTAATCTTCTTTCTTAGATCAGTTTTAAATCAGTATAAATCCACTTCAGGAGACTTACTCCTGCTTTACACAAACCCCTGTACCTCTCTCTCTCCCCTCAGTTCCCTATCTTCCACACACACCCCTTTTATAGAGACATCAGTGGGGTTGCATGTGTAAATCAGAATAGAATTGTAGCCTTTAATTTCTCTGCAAAGGAGAAAACCATTTCGTAATTGTTGTTCTTCAAGATGGGTGCTCATGTCCATTCCATTCTAGGTTTGCACACGCCCACGTGCACAGTTGTTGGAGACTCTTGCCTTAGCAGTATCCGTAGGGTCAGCCGTGGTACCCTCTTGATTGTATATCAGATGGTGCCGGCCATATGCCCTCTCAGTTGTTTCTTGCCAGCAACTCTGACAGAGGGGCAGGAAGGCAGGTAATGGGATGGAGACAAGCAACACATCTCAAAGAACAACAGTTATGAAAGGTAGGTAACCGGTTTTTTCTTTTCTGAGTGCTTGCTCATGTCAATTCCATTCTAGGTGACTCTCAAATATTTTCCCTGGAAGTGGACTCGGAGTTCACAGATGTACAGCTTGTAATACTGCTCTACCGAAGCCAGCGTCGTCTCGGGCTTACTGGATAAGCACACAGTTAGACGTGAACATATGAATGGACGACTACGTGGTGGCCCTGCAGATATCCAGAACGAGCGCATGGGCCAGGACACCTGCCAATGAGCATGGCGTGACCATGCATGGCGAGACGAAAAGGCTCTGCTGAGGCAATCTGCCAATACGTTCCTGGTGCTGGGGAAGTGCGCTGCCACAACATGAATGGCATGCTGCACACAGAAGTCCCAGAGACAGAGGGCTTCCTGGCAGAGGGCTGATGACCTGGCACTGCCTTGCTTGTTGATATAAAACATTGTGGCGATGTTGTCGGTCAGGATTTAAGCCACTTTGCCTTGTAAGTGGGACTGAAAAGCCTGACAGACCAGGTGAGCCTCCCTGAGCTTCCTGACATTTATGTGGAGGGAGCGGTCAACCCCTGACCAGCAGCCTTGTGTACTGAGCTCGCTCAGGGAGGCTCCCCAGTCCAGGTCCAAGGTGTCGGAAACCAGAGAGTTAGCGACGAGGACGCAAAGGGAACTCCCTGCAACACTGATACGGGGTCCAACCACCACGCCAGTGATGATGGGGTATAGTCCAGCAACTTGACTACCAGGTCGTGCCTTTTGGGGATGTAGACAGATGCCAACCATGTCTGCAGTGGTTGGAAGTGGAGCTGGGCATGACGGATCACGTAAGTACAGGCAGCCATGTGTCCTAGAAACCTTAGGCTAGTGCGGGTGGTGGTGAGTGGATGACCACTTACACAGGAGATTACATCTAACATG